AGAGGAAGGGTAGTAGACCTGGCCTTCAGAGTCCACCCAGGCCTGTACGCTGACGAAGTCGGCCACGAAGGAGGGGATCTCACACTTGATGATGGCAGAGTTACCCCGGATCACGTTCTGATTGTGGGCCTCCAGATGGTAGGACTGATGCACCACTGACAGGCAGAACCACAAGTGAGTACTGACCCCCCAGCCTACAGTTATCACACACCACTGAACTAACACTTAAATATATATGGATGAATAAAAAAGAAAGGAAGAAAGCAAGGAATAATAGCTAAACAAAGGAACCTGTAAACAATAAAAAAGAAAGAAGAATGGGTTAAAAAAAAGGCCTAAGGCTCCTAATATTTCAGCAGCCGACGACCTCCTAAAAGGGTGAACAAATAGACACACCATATATGAATCACATTAACCCTGGAAAGGTAAAGAGAGGAGCATCAGTCAGTGGCGGCGGCGGGGTGTTACTAATTACCATAACGATCAGAGGGGTAGTAGACCTGGCCCTCGGAGTCTATCCACGACTGTACACTGACGAAGTCGGCGATGTAGGAGGGGATCTCACACTTGATGATGGCTGAGTTACCCCGGATCACGTACTCGTTGTCTGCCTCCGACTGGTACGTCTGAGCCACCACTGAGTACACCCAGAGAGTACTTAGTAATCAAGGTATGTCTGCTATACTTCCCTCTCTCTCACACACACACACACACACACCTGCTTCCGTCACACTACAATATAATGGCTGCCCCTCATGTACGAGGGCCGGCCCAAGGGTCACCTAGGTGTGAATTTGTTTAAGGTGTAGAAGCTGTCGCCAACACAACAACCACACCCTGAGTTAACGAGATGCTTGACCCAGTGTCAAGGAACAGTCCGAAAAGACCGGACAACTCGCCAACTGCACTGGCTAACCATTACCCCGGAACACGATCCGCAAATTGATTAACATCCAGGTTCCCAATTACTGCTGGGTAGACAGAGGCAAATGGCGTAAAGAAACTTGCCCATAGTTTCACCCTGCCCGGGGATCGAACACGGGTCCGATCGCTTGTGGGGCGAGCATGCTGACCATTACACCACAGGTCACACTACAAAACCCCTCAATCACACTACAAAATCCCTCCGTCACACTACAAAACCCCTCAATCGCACTACAAAAACCCTCCGCCACACTACAAAACCTTCCATCACACTACAAAACCCTCCGACACACTACAAAAAACCCCAATCACACTACAAAAACCCCCAATCACACTACAAAAACCCCCAATCACACTACAAAACCCTCTGTCGCACTACAAAACCTTCCATCACACTACAAAACCCTCCGACACACTACAAAAAAACCCTCAATCGCACTACAAAATCCTTCCGTCACACTCAAGGGGTAAAAATGTGGAATATTAATTGATAACACGACTTAAACCTGAATTAGAAACCATGGGGACAAAGGGCCTATCTGAGAACAAGTTTTCGAATATCAATATATACCAAAAAATACCTGAAATAAGATAGAAACCGGAATTAGAAACCAGGATATAATGAAAGAACAGAAACCAGACGCTTGAAACCTTAGAAACCAAATACTCTTGATTATTTCTTAACATGAACGTAACATAAAATATAGCCCTGTAAACAGAAAACAGTCGTTAGAAACCTTAAATAACACACAACTCTGAAAGAAAGAAAGAAAGAAACCGTATAAAGACCATTAGATACCATACAGGATATATTAAACCTTGAAATATATAAATACCTCTGAAAAAAAATCTTTAGAAACCACAGAAACCACATTGCACATTTTAACATAAACCTGAAAAAGAAAGAGACCAGATATCAGAAACCATCAGTAAATAGTAATAAAAAACATTTGATACATCCCTGAAAGAGAACAGAAACCCAGCATTAGAAACCTGGCAACGAGGCTGTGATAGTGACCCTTAACGCTTCACCTACTCCCTATAGGATTCAGTGCCACTCTATAGGATTAAGTGCCACTCCTACGGGATTAAGTGTCACTCATCATAGGATTAAGTGCCACTTCTACAGGATTAAGTGCCACTCCCCATAGGATTAAGTGGAACGTCTCACAGGATTAGTGCCATTCATCATAGGATTAAGTGCCACTCCTACAGGATTAAGTGCCACTCCCCTGGGCCTCAGCATTACCATAGTTCTGTGAAGGGTAAATGCTGGTGCCGTCATCAGCCACCCAGGACTGTACGCTGACGAAGTCGGCGACGAAGGAGGGGATGCTACACTTGAGGATGGCAGAGTTACCCCGGATCACGTACTCCGTCAGCACCTCCGCGCGGTACAGCTGAGGCACCACTGGAGAGAGTCGCCAGTCAAGGAGAAGATTAACCACTGGGTGAAAGCTCTGAGCCAAAATATTTATACCTTGGTGAAAGCTCTGAGTCAAAATATTTATACCTTGGTGAAAGTTCCGAGTCAAAATATTTATACCTAGGTGAAAGTTCTGAGTCAAATTATTTATACCTAGGTGAAAGTTCTGAGTCAAATTATTTATACCTTGGTGAAAGTTCTGAGTCAAAATACTTATACCTTGGTGAAACTTTGGTTTACTAAGACTATATTCCATTTATAACATAGGAAAGTTTTGAGTCATTCATAATATTCACCAGTGGAGAAAGTCACTAATGAGTCACGGAGTGAAAGTTTAGTCACCAGGAGTCACGGAGAGAAAGTTTAGTCACCAGGAGTCACAGAGAACATTTACTACTAGGTGAAAATTATGAGTCACAAGGTGAGACTCATCAAGATTATTTGCCAGCAGAGGAAGACTCGAGTCACCAGGAATCACCAAGAACACTTACTGCAGGCGCCTACAGATAAACTCCCTAGTACAAACACCAAGTACCAATAAAATCACCAAGTACCAATGAGTCACCAAGTACCAATGAAATCACCAAATACCAATGAAATAATTTTTACCAATGAAATCACCAAATACCAATGAAATTTCCAAGTAGTCTAGTTCCAATGAAATCACCAAGTACCAATTTAGTCACCATGAGCCAGTAAATCACCAAGTAGTGTCCTTAGAAGGGAAAGAAGACTTGTGAAGGATGAATGGTGAGTGAGTTATTAAGCCCAAAAAAGCTAAATAATTAATGATCCCACGGACACGAGCCTACACGGACACGGTACGACAGTGATAACACGGACACGTCCAGTGGTATTAACGGTGCGCCGGTAATAACACGGTCTATTTGCAACCACGTAGTACATTGATCACGGTCACGTACAACGATCACGGCAATTACGGCCACGTACATGGGTTACAACCACGTACACTGATCATAACCACGCCTCACCACGAGATCAGGTTTACATACTGTAGGAACATGCGCAAGGTCAGGTCGTTTCAAATTACCTTCTCAGACAATTATTCTAGAGGATTTTCTTCACTATAGCAACGTAACCCAATAAAGTAGACGACATGAATAATAATAATAATAATAATAATAATAATAATAATAATAATAATAATAACAACGACGGTGTAGGCATGGGGGAAAAAGTCTTAATAATCAGAGTCAGAAATATTCATTATCTTTCTGGAATAGATAAGAGACTGTTTATCATTAGTAATTCAACACCTGAAAGATAAATTAAGGTAAGGTGAAGATGGGTTGGGTTAGGTTAGGTTAAAAAAGTATTGGGAAAAATCTTCGCCTTATCGTCCCTGTAAAACCTCCCACACATGAGGCTGGCGAGGCCCCTGGGTGGGTGGGAGGAAGAACATGAGACACAGCAGCTCAGTCTCCTAGGGCGAGTTACCATAATGATCGTTCAGGATGTAAGAGTCGCCATGGTCGCTGATCCACGACTGAACGCTGACGAAGTCGGCGACGAAGGAGGGCACGTTACACTTGAAGATGGCCGAGTTGCCCCTGATGACGTACTCGTGGTATACGTCCGTCTGGTAGTCCTGGTGAACCACTGTCAACCATACGCCAGTCAGTGAGTGGTAGTAAGGTGGTAGCAGTTGTGTGGGTAATTGGAGAGGTAGAAGCGAGGTGATGGTAGTGATAGTGGTTCTGGAGCAGTGTGATGTGTGATGTGTTAGTGAAGGTGGAGGAGTGACATGGGCCAAGGTGGTGGAGGAGTGACATGGGCCATGGTGGTGGAGGAGTGGTGGAGAGGGTGAGAGTATTGATGATGGAGAAGAGATAGCCTCAGGAGGAGGTGGTGGTGATTGAGGGAAGGTGCGACACCACACCATTGTTTACCGTCACACACCATTGTTTACCGTCACACACCATTGTTTACCGTCACACACCATTGTTTGCCGTCACATTACCTTGTTTACCGTCACACACCATTGTTTACAAGTCACCCACAATTATCTACCGTCACATTACCTTGTTTACCGTCACACACCATTGTTTACCGTCACACACCATTGTTTACAAATCACCCACAATTATCTACCGTCACATTACCTTGTTTACCGTCACACACCATTGTTTACCGTCACACACCATTATTTACAAGTCACTCACAATTATCTACCGCCACATTAACTTGTTTACCGTCACACACCATTTCTTACCGTCACACACCATTGTTTACCGTCACACACCATTATTTACAAGTCACTCACAATTATCTACCATCACATTACCGTGTTTACCGTCACACACACTTGATATCCTCCCGCTCTCCTCCCTCCCGCTTAATTATTTCCCTTAAAAACAAAAAGTTTCCCCGTCCTGACCAAAACGAATATTAATTTAAGCACAAGAGAGAAAGAATAGACGATTACGCCTGTGAAAAAAATAATCATCATTTAAACCTGGAAAAAACAGAGAAATAAACTACTGTATGAAACTGTATTAATCACGTGACCTGAAATAAACCAGAATATATTACTGTATGATTTAAAGTTATGTCAGATCTGAAAGACAAAACAAAAGTAATAAAGTTTGTTAGTCAGTCACCCCTCACACACACGTCTGGTTAATATTACCATAATCGTCAGAGGGATAATAAGTCTGGCCTTGATCGGTGACCCAGGACTGTACGCTGACGAAGTCGGCGACGAAGGAGGGGATGTTACACTTGAGGATGGCTGAGTTACCCCGGATCACGTACTCCAAGCTTACGTCTGTCATGTACTCCTGGTGCACCACTGAAATGTTGGCCAGGGATGGTGACCAGGTGGTGGAAATGGTGACCAGGTGGTGGGAATGTTGGACAAGTAGTGGGAATGGTGACCAGGTTGTGGGGTGGTGGGAATGGTGACCAGGTGGTGGGAATGTTAGCTATGGGTTGGTGAACTGCATGGAGAGCCAGTCACACTCACACAATCACTGGAGATACAGTCAGTTAACGAGAGACAGTCACTCACAGTCAGTTGTAGAGAGAGAGAGACAGTCACACTCGGTCAAAATAAAACAGAACACATAAATAACAAACACCACAAACTTCACACACAAACAAACAAACAAACAAAACAAAATAAAACAAAATCCTCAAGACTTCAAAATAAATCCTACACACACGAGACCATTTTTTTTTTTTTACCCCAGGATGAAAATATTTAGTGTTAAATATTCCTGGGAGACAAAATAAGTTCATTAAGGAACACTCAAGCACCTGGAAAATTAAAGAGACGGTCACCTTAATTAACGAGGCTCTGTGAACATTAAAAAAAAATATATGACACGTGATTAATTATATCCTGTAGGAGAGTAAATAAAAAATAATTATTACTAAGTTATCCCTGTAAATGAAGTTTTTTATTAATACTGTTGTAAAATAATCAGATAATATATTCCTGTAAAAAACAATAAACCATTAGTTTAAAAATATATATATTAAAAATTGCCGTAAATTTTGTTGTAAGAGAAGGATTTTTACGAGAGAAATTTCCCAAGAAGTTCGGCACTACGAGAGAATTTTCCCCGTAGGAATAAGTAAACAACGATATTTCCCCTGCAAAGAAAGAAGAGAAATTTCCCTTTTAGAGCAACATTAAAGAACAACTCCCCCGCCCCCTCCCCCACACCCCTGGAGAAGGTAGGGAACATTCTGAAGTTGTCCCCCCTCTCCCCTGCGGCATACTGTATAACCCATGGGAGGGGGGAGGGGGGGGAAGGAGGGGGAGGGAGGGAAGCCCACAATGAAAGTCCCGCGAGGCCCTCAGAGGAAGCGGCCATTATTACCGTAATTCTGGGAAGGGTAGTACATATCGCCTTGGTTCGTCACCCAGGCCTGTACGCTGACGAAGTCGGCGACGAAGGAGGGGATGTTACACTTGAGGATGGCTGAGTTACCCCGGATCACGTTCTCCAAACTTACGTCAATCAGGTACTGTTGAGGAACCACTGTAGGGGGGGAGGAGCAGGGAGGAGGTCCAGATACCAATCAGAAAACCACAATAAACAATCAGATACGTCAGTTGTATAGCTGATGACGTATATATCAATCACATAACCACAATGACCAATCAGATGCGCCAGTTGTGTGGTTGATGACCTAAATATCAATCAGATAACCATAATGACCAATCAGATGCGTCAGTTGAATGATTGATGATGTAAATACCAATCAGATAACCACATCGATCAAAACCAAAATTGAACCCTAAACTGTTAATGATACGAGACAACAGACAGACAGAGACAAACAGACAGACAGAGAAACAGACAGACAGACAGACAAACAGACAGACAGACAGACAGACAGACACCATCACTGTATCCCCCAAGAATCTCCATCGATCTGAGTGACGAATGACCCACCAGGCGTACAGGTTCCCGTCACAAAGGACTTGAGGAGCTATCAGGAGGGAACTAACTGCCCATAAGAGAAGGACAAATGGCACCGCCCCTCAGGTAAAGTTAAACTGCCCATCAGATAAACTAACCCCAACCAAATGGCACCGCTCCTCAGGTAAAGTTAAAATGCCCATCAGATAACTAACCCTAACCATCAGAGAGTAAGCTACCAGGTAAGGGGGGAGAGACCAAGTATACCCATCAGAAGTTTTAAGTCAGGTGCCCATCAGATAAGCTATATCCGGCAGGGAAGGAGACCAAGTACCCATCAGAAGTTAGTTAAATTGCCCATCAGATAACTATCCCAACTATCTAAGATTAAACTAACTGGTAGGGAGAAGGGCCAAGTACCCATCACAAGGTAAGCCTCGGATTGAAACGAGACAATCACTCTGATGGACCTCCAGCGGCAGTGACAATCAGACGCAGAGCACCATTCACAGGATCAAACGCCGAAGAGAGAGAGAGATAACCAAGGTCTTACTACTGCCCAACACATAGGCTTTAAGAGGTCAGTCTAGATACAGTGTGTGTGTGTGTGTGTGTGTGTGTGTTTAAAAGTTTATATTCCATGCTTAAAAAAGATGATACGATAACCATTTTAGACTCGATAACCTAAAACACACACACACACACACACACACACACACACACACACACACACACACACACACACACACACACACACACACACACACACACACACACACACACACACACACACACACACACACACACACACACACACACACACACACACACACACACGGGTAATTAAATAAGTGAGCAAAGTCAAGCAAGTAGTGAGCAAGTTTTAATATTTTCTCCTGCAAAAGTAAACACAAAGAGATGACGAAGCTGCGACATAACTCAGGAGTCAGTTTGTATTACCTGAAAATTAAAGGAAAATACCTGAGAATTACCTGAAAATTAAAGTTAGTGAATTGTACCTATAAAAGAAATATATATTGTGAATTATTTATTTTATCTTTTAGAAATGTAATACATAAACTACTGTATGAAACTGTATTAATCACGTGACCTGAAATAAAGTAGAATAATATATTACTGTATGATTTAAAGTTATGTCAGATCTGAAAGACAAAACAAAAGTGATAGTTTGTTAGTCAGTCACCCCCTCACACACACGTCTGGTTAATATTACCATAATCGTCAGAGGGATAATAAGTCTGGCCTTGATCGGTGACCCAGGACTGTACGCTGACGAAGTCGGCGACGAAGGAGGGGATGTTACACTTGAGGATGGCTGAGTTACCCCGGATCACGTACTCGGGCACCACGTCCGTCTGATAGTTTTGGTGAACGACTGTGGGGGAGGACCTTGTTGTTTATGACAGCATGACAGGTGAGGGGATGACAGGTGAGGGTATGACAGGTGAGGGTATGATAGATGAGGGGATGACAGGTGAGGGTATGATAGGTGAGGGGATGATAGATGAGGGGATGACAGGTGAGGGGATGACAGGTGAGGGTATGATAGGTGAGGGGATGACAGATGGAAGGAAGTTCTTATTTTGTCCCAGTGAACCCTTGTGGAGGAGGACCTTAGTGTGTTTATCTTCAGGGGGAGTGAACGGAGGGGACGGGCCATAGCTCAGGCACGGCAACACATCCAGGCTTTAAATGCTCAATACACCTGAGGAAGGAATCACTCGTAGGGGGAACAGCTGGTGGTCATTGAGGAAGGAATCACTCGTAGGGGGAACAGCTGGTGGTCATTGTTGCGGGAGAGTGTGAAGGCTGTTGTGGGCTACCTGGTGTTGGGTGAGGGGTAGTGTGACCCTTTGTTTAGTGTGACTCTGCTGGTTACTGTTCCGAGCTAATAGTGTGACGCTGCTGGCAATGTTTGGAGTTAGCGTAACGTTATTTGCCCTTGTTATGGGCTAGTGTGACGTTATTACCCACCGTTACGAACTAGTGTGACGCTGCTGGCCAGTTATGGGTTAGTGTTACGCTACACAACGAACATCACACACACACACACACACACACACACACACACACACACACACACAATTAACTCTACCAGATCCCACCTGTTGTATATTAAACATAATCAGTACACATGTAGTAACATTAACCTGAAATATAAAAGGAAAATCTGGATTATATTTTTATCTACTTAATTAAAATCTGGAAGAGAGAAAAGACTTATAAATTAGTTCTTATTAATGATGCTCTTAAAAAGGTGGGTGTTAATAATTAGGTTAGTTTAAGCCTCAATTACGGCCAGGTAGTGTCCAGGGAGCTATTATTCTTGACGGGGCGGCGCTGGATCTGTAGGAGGGGTGCTGGAGGGGCAATGGACCTGCTGAAGGGGTGGTGGAGGGAAGTAGGTAGGTAGGGTGGTAGGGAACGGGGGAGGGAGGGAAGGGGTTATGGTAGGGAAAGGGTTATGGTAGGGAAGGAGGTAGGGAGGTAAGGAGGTAGGTATAGGTAGGGAGGTAGGTATAGGGAGGGAGGTAGGTAAGGAGGTGGGGGTATAGGGAGGGAGGTAGAGTAGGTATAGGTGGAGGTAGGTATAGGGAGGGAGGTAGGTATAGGGAGGAGGTAGGTATAGGTAGGGAGGTAGGGGTATAGGTAGGGAGGCCAGGTATAGGTAGGGAGGTAGGTATGGTAGGAGGTAGGTATAGGTAGGGAGGTAAGGGAGGTAGGGAGGTGGGAGAGAGGGCCAGGACACATTAAGTGTTAGTGTAACACGTGTACCGTCACACACGCTCGCTCGCTCGCCGCCAACATTACCATAATTGTCGCCTCCGGGGAAGTAAGTGTCGCCAGAGTCGGTGGTCCAGCCCGTGACCCTGACGAAGTCGGCGACGAAGGAGGGGATGTTGCACTTCATGATGGCCGAGTTACCACGGATCACGTACTCCTCCCCCACGGACGTCTTGTAATACTGGTGAACCACTAAAGGAAGGATACCACGCACGTCAGTCACCAAGTACCGGCAACTCCATCACCAGGTACCATGACCCCCCATCACCAGGTATAACACACGTTCTTCACCAAGTACCATGACCTTCCATCACCAGGTACCACGAGCCCCCATCACCAGGTATAACCAACACGTTCTTCACCAAGTACCATGACCTTCCATCACCAGGTACCACATACCTCAACACCACATATTCAGACACCTTCATTCCTCCTCCTCCCATTCTCACACTGACTCCACCTTCCTCTTCCTCCACTCATCGAACTCCTTCTCCACCCTCCACTCTTCTTCCTCCACCCTCCTCTTCTTCCTCCACCCTCACGCCTTCATCCTCCACTCACACACCTTCCTCCTCCACCCTCACGCCTTCCTCCTCCATCCACACACCTCTTC